GCACACAGCTAAAGAGCACGACCATATTGAGGAGGAGAATCCCAAAGAAGACTACAGTGCCAAAAGACGGGCCATTCAGCTGTTTTCTAAATCATTTAAACGGCAAAGCCTGAGCGATCAGCCAGCGACATGGATCCAGATTTGCCGGAGCATCACATGATGCTCCGCTTTTGCGGTAGCAGGTGTCTACATAAGCATTGCCCGAGGGCAACCACGTTTGTGAGAATCAGCGACGAATTGAGCACGTTCGACATTATGTAGATGTATGTCCAAGCGGTACCACCAAATGATTTGGCATAGCCACTGTGACGCACACGATATGCACATCAACTCTGTTTCCTTTTGCCACATTTGTTTGATCACGCTCGTCCTAATTGTGTTCTCTTCAATTCAGCTTTATTTCAAGTGTTTCCTAAGGAGCCAGATGCTAAAGGTTGTAATCGACTGGCTGTGGCTTCTGCTGTCATGAGTACCCAACAACTACACTACAGAAAACGAAACAGAAACGCTCAAAGCCATACATATAAAGAAAATAAATATATCTTACAAAATTAATATCAAAAATAAAAACGGTCCTATTACGCTACCTCGAGGGACACCAAGCTCAACAAGTGTTGGACTGGATATTTCATCATTTATTTTAACTACCTGAGAGTGATCCTTTAGAAATTCCTCAAGCCATCGTGTTGTTTTGCTGTCAAGTTCAAGATTACCTATCTTTAGTGTTAGTCGTTAGTGAGGTACGCTGTCAAAGGCCTTTGAAAACTCAATAAAAATTCCGTCAACAAAATGGGACAAGTGCAGTGAGTTGTGAATGTTTGTTACCCACTTGTAAAGCTACTTTTGACTTGATAGTTGCAGTCTAAAACCATGCTGATTGTTTATGAGTACATTATTTCGATTGACATGCACCATTGTTTGTAGATTATGTGTTCAAGCAGTTTGCTACTAATGGAGGTTAGTGATATAGTGCGATAATTATTGAAGACACTGTTATCACCAGTCTTAGGTATGGGCAGAACATGAGCAATTTTCTAGTCTTCGCATACACATCCAGAGTCAAGTACTGTCGGAATACTAAAGAATTAAGGCACAACTGCTGAGAAGTGACTGGTGAATTTCAGTAGTTTAGCTCTGATGCCATCCAGGCCTGGGCTGGCCTTGAATGGCAACCGGTCAATGGCGTGTTTGTGGTTGTGATGATTGATAGGAGGCTGAACGGAATGGTTTGGTGTGGAAGAATCGTAGAACTATTATTAGGATATTGATCTGTGCAGACTCCGGCAAAGTGCTTATGAAATGGCTCGCACACTTGCCTAGTGTTAGCATGCTGCCGTTGGCACCTAGCATAGATGGCACCAACTGATCTCGTTTAAAATTAACTACATTCCAAAGTATTTTAGAATCTGTTTTTAGCAAATTTGGTAGAGTGCAGATGAAACATTTATTTTTTGCTTCAATATGACCTTTTCTGTTTTGTTTTCGAGGTTTCTTTATATTTTTTTCCAGTCTTCTGGCTTATTTGACTGACTCGCTTTTCTATATGCCCTTTTCTTCCTGATAATGCACGTCTTTACATCGTGAGTGAACCATCATGGATCACTTTCACGTGTGCTTATCGCAGGTCTAGGCGCACTTAATTTTTCTATTTGTTTAAGGTCATCGCAAAGTATGCACCCTGGCTACCAGTGGCGCTGGCAAACACTCTCGGAGACTAAATGCACATAACTATCGCACGATGTGGTGAAGGAGTACTCTTTCTTCTTTAGAGGGCATGATGGAACAGCACAGAAACAGCGGAGTATGTAAAAAAAAAATCGGCAGTTGCCACGTATCTTATGAATCGATGATATGCGAAGCATGCGAATGGAAGCTGACTGCATCGTAATTTTTTTATTCAGCGAAATGTTACGAAATGACGTTAAGATATGTATAGATTGTGCGGGCGCACATGCACCCAGCCTCTGTTTCCCTTTTACGGCCGCGCGACAGCCTAGCCGCGAGGACATGTCTGTTCCTTCAGGTACGAGTCAATAAAGCCTCTTGCGAAGGGATGGAACACCCCCGCTCGCGATTCCCCCTCTCCCGGTGCACAAAACGGGTTTTACTCCCTCAGCGAAGGAACAAACCTTTGTCAGGGAGAGGAAAACCGGGTCAGTGAACAAAATTAGCGTGCGGACAACCGCACGCTCTCTCTGACACCGGCCTAGAAAGAAGGAGGTCGAACCCCCAACCCCCTGCGAGCCGAGGACGACAACGACCAAGGAGTAAGCGTCTACCCTTGTTTTCTGTAGTATCTCCTCGCGACATTTATGCATTATTCCTAACGTATAGCAATAAAGTGTGTAGTTGACCTAACCTGTTGCCTTATTCGCCCGAACCCGTGTAGCTGCAGTGAGACAAGCTTTGGATAGGGGACGTTAATTGTGCACGGTATGACAGTTGACAGTGTGCGGCTCGAACATTAGCTAGGCTTCTGCGTCAGCCGTACATAGGATGGACCCACTACAAGATGTTGGACGCATACAATACGCTGAACACTCTCATATGTTTCATACGGGCAGTTGTTTACAGCTGAGTAACGATGTCAACAGCAACATGGATATTAGCAACACCAGATTCGTATAACTGATATGTTGCGCTTGTGCTTGTGAGGATGGTAGCTCTGGACACAGCTACATAAATGAACTTCAGCAGATTATGTTTAACTAGAATTGACGTTAACCAGATGTGACGGCTGTATCATAGGAGTGCATATGTAATGTTTATGAAATCGGACATCCAGCACTGCAACTACAATGGACATTTCATGAACATTCGGGTCTATCAGAAAAGCAGTTCCGGGACCTGACATGGAACCTGACGTGGCACACGCAGAATACTGGGGTTCCATTCCTGCTGGGACCCCGGCGGTCATTCTTTGCACTCATCGGGTCAGCACTGCCGATAACAACTTTTTCTTAATGCTCTTGCCTTAAAATTACTAATGTCTGTTCTCGCTGTTCCTGGGTAGATATGAGCTGTCAATCACCTGTGGCACATGCCCACATAGTTGTGGAACATACCCGCCCATGGTTATGGGTATGTGCCACACGTGTCTGGTGTAAAGGGTTTGACGAGGTACGCGATGGAACTGTTACATTATCCATGTCATGACCAGCAAGTCATATTCTTCAAACAACCGTACCCTCAAATACTTATTTTGGTTTACCCAAGTTAATGGGGTGATCACGAGAGCACAGAGACGTAGGCTGCTAGATAGAAAGCTAGATACGTTTATACGTAGATAGACGCTAAATGTGCATGCAGTACGCAAAGAAATGCGAAGGTAAAGGAATAAAGTAAGTGCTTAATGTCCACACGAAAACTAAAAATAAAAAATAAAAAAATCTAGAAAAGTTGAAGTAATGATAACTACTTTGCAAACTAAAAAAATAACTCCTTTGCAAACTGGCCTTAGACAGGCTTGATGTTGGGAACAGTCAGGTGTCTAAAAAATCGACAAAGGAACAATCGGGTGTCACATAATGCGAATTTCGCAAAGAATTGGTTGTTGAATGCTCCCACCATTTACAAAAGCTCAATGTTGTTCACATATTAACTATGGCGCGTACCCACTGTGGCGGATTACAAAAGCTTCTGCCATAATTCTTCATTGTCGCACACAGACGAAAAAATTGCACAAAGTTCCTTGCAAGTGTGTGGCAGGTACTACGCTTCTCTGAAGGATGGCATAGTGAATGCCTGCCTACTACACAATGATTATTGGTGTAGTGGGTACCCTGCATGTGTGTGTGATAGTTACCTAAAGAGTGTTAAACAAAGTGCCAGGCCTCGTGGAAGGCACAGCACAACCAAAGCTAGAAAAACGGCCTTTCAGAGCCTTTTCTAAACAGTTTTTGGGTAACTTCTACAAGCACATATTCTGGGTACCCACTACACCATAAATATATAGGCATAAGTATATAGGCCAGCATTTGCTATGCTATTCTTCATCAATCTTCGGAGAAGCGTGGTATCTGCTACACATTTGCTAAGAATTTTGTGCAATTTTTTTGTATGCAGTGGCTGACGAAGATAGAGTCATGTCTGAAGTGGGTATGTGCCAAAGTTAATAGGTGATCAAGAACAAGTTTTCTAATGGGTTGGAGCTTTGGAGGATGCACTCGTTATGCAATTCGCATCGTGTGGCACCTGGTTATGTTCCTTTGATGTTCTAAAACGCTTTATCACTCATATTAACTCGATTGAACCTTTCCCAACATTACGCCTGCGTAAGGCCAGCGTGGCTTAGTGTTAGAAAACTGAGCTGGCCCGGGTTCGAATCCCATTGTGGCCTGGGCGTTTAATTTTTACGAGTTTTTTTTTTTCTTATTTCATGTGACACTGGTTACGGACACCACCGGCGGCGGCGGACAACTACGGCGCCGCACGTGACCCGCGTCCTGATCTCGTAACAGCTTTCGCTGTAACAGTGTGAGAAAGATGGTGGCAAAGTAAAAATTACTTTGTGCAACCAGTGCTTTGGAATGGTTTGGTCTGATTTCATAGTTTACACGCTTTTCGCTTCCACATTTTATTTTGTCGAAGTGAAGAAGGAGGACCTATAGAGTAACTGTTTTTGCTTGAAGTGTTGCACTCGCACATAGTGACTGATGGACGAGGAGTAATAAACTCCTTTTTTTTTTTCCTGCAAAAAAAAAAAAAACTCATGCATACGCGTGCATAGGGAGAGGCAGTGATCAAGGTGACGGCCTTTTTTTTTCCCTCGTTGCGCATGTGCTTTTTCGTTGCTCATAGCACGGCAGGCCGTTTTCGGCAGTGCAGTGCCTTCTCAGCTGGAAACTGCAGTACGGCCTCGGGTCCGCCCACCCTGCTGCAAAAGTTCTGGACATGGTACGAAGTAAGACAATTTTCCTTTTTCCAAATAAGACAAGTATATTCCTTCCTCCATGGTAAGTGCCGAGGAGCATCATCATCATCATCAACAACAAAAACCGAAGCTGTGTGATCGCTCGAGCCATTCACGATCCTAGGGAACGCGAGCCGGCGTGCCGGCGTCTCGCTTTTCCAGCCAGGTTGAGGACCGGCCTCTCTCTTTTGTTGCGCGGCTGGCGTAGTACCCGGCGGCTGACGACGACGCCGCCGCGCACGAACGCATTGTCTGCGCCTATAAAGAAACTGCGAAGTCGCCGTGAATTAAAAACAGCTGTCCGCGCCCGCAGTTCACTCGTGTCGGCGACGACCCCCCAAAAAAATGAGCGCACATGGCTGTCCGCATCTGACAACTTTCAAGGAAACCAAAGGCACGCAAGCCTACCGGCTCATCCACTCGTACTTCGTCTGCTGCGTCTCCAAGGAGGCCCGTGCAAAGAAGGTGAGCTATGACGCCACAGGGACTCCTTCCCTTGTTTTCACAACAAAAGCAGCGTTCGGTCGGTTCAGCCGCGCTGTCCGAGAAGTTCGACCAGTTTGTCAACGCCAACCGGCTTGGAGGTTCGGCTCTGAGTCAATCGCAGTGACGCACGCGTTTTCGTCGAAAGCAGCCGTGTCTCGGCGGTTAACAGCAGCGTAAACTGCTGTGTGCGAACCCTTTTAAATCGTCGATGTCTTCTTCTCCCACGGTGGTTTATAAACGCGGCCCAGTTCCAGCATTTCCGACGAATGACTGATCCCGTAGGAGCGTGCTGATCAGTTCGGTTATCCTTGAAACAAACCCTCTTAGTCTTTAAAGAAAGAAAACAAAAAGAAAAATAGCGCAAGGCCAAATACACGCTCGCGAGAGAAGGGGAAAAATTGCGTAAACTAGCGCTGCATGTTTGTTTCTTTTTCTTGTTACACATCGCTCTCCAATAAAGCTGAACTTTGCCCTATTAGTGCGTGTGGTCGAATTACGATGCCGAGATCTACCTAGTGGTTTAGCCATACTTATCGCTGGAAACTGCTTAGTCGAGCTCCGCAATTTGCGTTTCACCTATGTAGCGTGTCGCTGTGACGCCGCTTATTCAATCGGTGGTTACGCTAATCTCGCCAAAATTTACAGCTTGCGCGATTAGAGAGCGTGGCGTATTGAAGCGCCGGCAACACCTGAGCTCTGTGTGGCGTTTGTCTCTTTGTAGCGTTTTCTTCTCGCGTCTCAAAGCAACGCATGTAAACGAGCCGACTGGGAATGGCACTCTTCATGCCTGTGCGAAATCAGCTTTCCAACCCTCAGAATTTGCAACTGTTGCACTGTTTTCTTTTCAAACTTTGATACTTACAGAATTTTATAGGTTACTACATATCTGAAACCTATCGCCCAAAATTTCATGACCATTTAAAAAGTTTTCCCCTCAAATCTCTGGTGTTGACATCACGAACTTCAAAATGTTCTTTTGTATTTTCACCATATTGACTCAAGAAAATTGTCTGGTACTTGGTATGTCAGGTCTCTGGTTCTCCTGGAATAAAATGTACTTCATTTTGGCCGTTTGGTAATTGTGTTGACCATAGTTGACCATCAAAATCTATGACACTACGGTGACTGGTGTCTAGCTGTTATTGCCACCCCCGTTTTATTTTTCTTCCTTTTTTTTGTGTCACTGATGAATTGTCTTCTCACAGCAAGCAGGGTGTTCTTGATAATTGAATAGAGTAATTTACTAATGCAAGAAAGCTTTTATCTTTCTTCTCTCTTGAACATGCAGGCTCAGCTTTGCGTGTGCCACGTTTGCCACGAAAGAGGTCCCAGACTTCACGCATGCCTTCAGTGTGTCTACTTTGGCTGCTACGGGAACGGGCACATTCATGAGCATGCTCGCACTAATCAACATCTTCTAGGTAAGCACTCTTGTAAAAAAAGTCATCAGAAAGGAGTTATTTTGTGATGTGATCGGGCTTCACCCACAATAAATTGTTGCAACACTTATCGCAGGCTGCGTGCGCAGCAGTGTCTGAAAACTTCACGTTTGTTTCTGAATGTTAAGGTTACATGTAACGCATGACTAACACAGTTTGTTCTTGTGCTAACATGACAGTCATCATGTTTAGGGTCGCAATATTGGCCATGGGCAAAAGCTAGCCTATAGGAGGGTTGCATGTGACGTCATCCGCTTGAGGCGCTAGCGGCGTTTGCCTCTACCGCCATGTCAGTGGTCTAAGCGCGCCCTTTTTGAAGCGGCGAGCGGCTGTGAGAGGTTGTGTGCGTGCCGCTACGTACGGTATAAACGTGGTGAAATTCGACTGAGTGCTTACGCGCGTGACTTACGAAGTCCGGCGAAACTTCGCTACGAACATAAGGTTCACATTTGCGGCGGATATCGACCTGTTCGACTTCAGCAGCGATGTAGCTGTGTGGGATGGTGAAGTGTTAATCCCGCATCAAGCTCACGGACATTAAGGACCACCTTGTTGGCGGCACAAGCTTTGCAACAAGGGACAAGCTTAAAGCCTGTGCTTTAAACTCGTCATGTCGTCGACAGCCGCCACGTCGTCGACGGAAACAAGACTGGTTCCTCTTGCTCAGTGTTCGGACAATTTTTTTTTTCACCGCGGTGGTGTCGTTTCCCGAATTCTTTGTGTGGAAGGGCTTCACCATTTGCAAGAGCATGTGAGGTGATACAATTGGCATAGTTTGTTCATGGTTGAGCCCAAGCCGCTCGCAACCAAAAATGCTCTTTGCTGCAGGGTCCAATCACGTGCGTCGGGCAGTTGCGCACCCAGAAATCACATACGGTCTCGATTGTAACTGATCGACGTTAATGTGCTCGGCTCTTTAAAGCATGGGTAAACGAGAACGCACTGCATCGATGACTGTTTACTAACACACCGAAATCAGTAACACGCCACACCTACCTGAATGATACCGGTGATAAGCATCGATCGCGGTCGTAGTCCACGCGCTCGTCTCTTGCTGCGTAAACAAAGCTTCATAGCGCACGTCGCGAAAACCCAAGTGTTTCACCACAAAATCGAGCCTGCATGATGTTGCATAGGTTCTGAACACTTACCGGAAATTAAATGTTTAACGCACACGCAGCATAGTGTGTGGCTGAACCATTCAAACCTTTTCGATTGGTTTACAATCATTTTAGGCGTGAAAAAAAAAAAAGCCGACATAAGACGCATTGTCATGACCAGCCATCTTACTCGAGTGATTGTAGCAACCAAATAAGGCACAGTTCACCATTATGAGCATAGGTCAGGAATCTTGCACAGGCGCGCAGCCGTGAGTGTACCATATAACACCCACGCACTAGTGTACGTTCTGCGACTGCTTGCCCGCGGCGGCAGGGAGGGAGACCACAAAGATGGATGCGTTGCATCTTCGACGCTGGCGCCATCTCGTGGGCCACGCCCATGTGCAACCCTCCTATATCGCTGTTCATAGTTGTCGTCATGACATGCGGATGTCTGATGTGTTCTTTTATAAATTTCCGAGAGCCTGCCCCCTGATGCTTTTTTTGTTTTGAAAGCTTTAGAAGTACTTTGTATTGTGCGTGATGCTTTTTTAATATTATATCGCCAAGATAGGAAGATATGTAAATTTTGATCCATCTCCTTATCGGATTACTCCTATCAACGAATGAAATGCGAGGGAATAAATTGAGGTTATACTTACAATAAAGCAAACATGTGAAACTGCTAGAGGTGCACTGACAGGAACTCTTTTTTTGTGTGTGTTGCCAAACTTTTTCAGCTGTTGACATTTCCTATGGAGTAGTGTACTGCTTCACGTGCGCCGATTATGTTTACGATCGTGAACTCGAAGCCATTGCCCGAAAACATCGCCGTCGTTGTGCCAGGCTACTTGGTAAGATGATAACTATAAATCTTTTCTCCCAATTGGTTGTTTGCAGTATCATACGTCTATTGTTTTAGTAAATGTTCACATATTTTTTACAGGACATTCCATTGATATATATATACTATTGTAGACCAGTTACTTGGATTGCGAGACAAATTGTGTGAAAAATAATCAGTTTCAAAGTAATATTCAATGTTTACTTTTAGCATCATTGTCAAATGACATGTTTGAATTGCACTAATTAACTTTTTTGTCATAGTTCTGGTAGTGGTGCTTAGGGTATTATGAACAGTTGGGTGGATTGTGCCAAAAAGTGGTATACGCTTGTTAAATGGACATAAATGGTCTGCCGATTATTTTTCAGGCATGAGATAGTAAAAATATAAATATTGAAAAAATTGTCAAATTTAAGAGGCACATATGTAGTGTGCCTTAGGCAGAATTATACATTAGCCTTATTCAATAAATGTGCTGATGCTCATATGCTTCTCTTCAAATAGAAACACGTAAACTTAGCTTTCTCTTGCAGGTTTCTAGGTTTTGTTGATAGTTTCGATGTCGTTAACTTAATTTTTTTTTTTCTGGATAACATCAACAGGTGGTGGCCGAGATCACTTCATATTATAAAAAGTAAGCAAAACTGGGGGAAAAAAATATGGCTTGCTAGGAATGCACTCTTTTACTTTATTCATTTCTGGACTTCTGGCTTTTAAAACTATGGCATTCAACTAACGAATTATTTAAAATGGTGCATCTAAAATGGAGACACTGTTTTCTGAAGTAAGGTCAAATCTCAAAATCGGGCTTTTCTTAAAATAGCGGTTATGATGCACCAGGCAGGCCCAACTGCATAACAAGCATTTTGACATGTTTCTTGGAAGTTACGAAAAAAAAAGGAGCGTAGATTTTTCTCTTGCATTAAAGGGGTCCAAGTGTGAAAACTTACTTGTAAGAACGTAAACCAGGTAGTTTACCATCTATTTAGTGCATTGCTAAATATTCGCTAAGTCACTAGACAGGTGGAATTATGGAAAAAGTGGATATTGCGGTCACTGTTGTCCACACCGAGCAGCCTCTTCTGTTTTGATTTTTTTTAGTATTTGCATCAATTAAGTTGTCAGCCTTGTTCACTGGGAGTGTAGTTAGCTGTATGCTTTTAATTGCAGAGCTGCAAGGTGACTAAGCTGTGGTAGATTAGGACAGTGCTTGTATAGCTCGATAATCATTTTCAACTGCTGCAGTGCCACTTGCTGTGGTGCTACCACGAAGGCTGTAGATAAACATTTTGTGAAAAGATGAAAATTACTGTTATTGTTACTTTTATTGATATTGTTTTCAATAAATGTTGCATGTATCGTTAATATTGTGACACTTATGGCAGTTGTGATGCTAGTCTAGTTTGACATTTTTTTGTATGTACTAAAGTATTGTTCAAGTTTACTTATAAAGAAAGTTTGAACAATCTATAAAACAGACAATGAAGGCAATGAAAGTGCAGAGGACATTATTTGTAGTTTATTTAGTTAGCATAATGCAAATACGAAATAAATGGAAATGAAATCCATCAAAAGAACTGTTGGAAATTTAACCCTCAACCTCGTCATTGAGGAGGCGATTTGGGTTAATAGCAAGCAATGTCTGTCAAACACCAAGTCGAATGTGTTTCTAACAGTAGCGGGATGGGAGAGGAAAATCGCGAAACTGCCTCCTCTGTACTGTTCAATAAAACACCAGCTTTTTAAATCGTCGCATTTGAAACTGTCTTGAATGCAGGTCTCCAGGAGTATTACCAGCACTGGGAACCTAGCAACTTTGAGCTTGACCTGCTTCGCAGAAATCCGCGAAGAAAGCGCATTGCTAACAACTCCTACATAGGTCTGTGCTTTTCATTTCTCTGCTTTGTAGGGAAACCACTGGGAAACACCGAGTTAGTTCAGAGTGGTAGGAGTGTGTTGTTATTGTGTCATTTTGTGCTCATTATTACAACAGACAAAGGACGTCAATATATAAGTCGGCAGAGAATGGGGGGGCACACTCGCTCCCTGAAGGTTTCTTCTAGTCAACTTACTTAGATTCACTGAAACTTTTCCAACCAGTCTCACTAGAATGCAAACTCACGCATACTCGCTCAGACTAAGACTCACCGCTCAATCAGAGTCTGAGCGAGTTTAGCCATGATTGAGTTAGCCGACCTGTACGTCAGTGTTTTATTCTCGAATTTCACTCCCTCGCTTCAGCACCGAAGGTGTAGAATGCTCATTGTAGCTCCATATGTCTTGTCTTCTTTTTTTCTCACCAGGCCTGCGGGGGCTGATCAACCTCGGGAACACTTGCTTCATGAACTGTATTGTGCAAGCTCTAACACACACCCCGCTGTTGCGAGATTACTTCCTGGCTGACCGACATGTTTGCCAGTTTCGTGATGACCCATCCATGTGCCTTGTCTGTGAAATGTCAAGGCTCTTCCAAGAGGTGATGCATACCATTATATTGTACAATTTTCATTTGCACATTTAATTCTGGGCGGGTTGCGTTTTCCTGAATGCTGAATATTTTGCACGGTCTGTGCAGTTCTACTCTGGCAAATCGAGCCCCCACATTCCATACCGGCTACTCCACCTGGTCTGGACCCATGCTCGCCACTTGGCCGGCTACGAGCAGCAAGACGCCCATGAGTTCTTCATTGCCACGCTGGACGTGCTACACAGGCATTGCAAAGGTCAGCTTGCAGGACAGCTTTTTATGTCACTGCCATGACTATTGGCTTCGAAATGGTTAAAGTAGTTGAGATGTCAGGAGTTTAAGCTGATCTTGTATTTATGTGTTGCACGTGAGTTCTCACGCTGAGTTGACCGACTCGATGTGGGTTTTTTGAGGTGGATGTCTTGAGACATTAGGGCTGCAGCTTTTTTTTTACTAACACTGTAGGCCAGTTGTAGCATTAACGATGCACTTGGTGATTTTGGCTGTTTCATTGCAGTGGTCTTTGAGACATGTATACTCTCTGGGACAAAATACTCCACGACATGAGCTCCATGGCAAAGTTTCAGTATTTGAAAGACTTTGTAGGCTGCAAGGACAACTACAATCAAACTTTTAATCAGAGGTGCCAAGAGAGAACTTTTACAATCAAACTTTTATTTAGAGGCTGTTTTCTTGTACTAAGTGAGAACTTGTTATTTTCACAAATCATGGCTCCTGGCCATGTTTTTTTTTTTTTCCAGCTGTAACAATGGTAAGCACTGCTAACACGTGTACTCCCACAAGCAGCAAAACACTCTCGTTATGTTCATGCAGATGAGTAGTATGTATAGCATCGCGCAATACACGCAGAGCTGATTTCGTATTCCTGCCCATCAGAAACGCGCACATTGTGTTACTTTATTAGTTCGAAAGTTTTCCAACGGGCAAAGACCTGATTGTGAAGATGGCAGCGTAGATTTTTACGGTCTCGTTCAGTGCGCATCGGTGCAAGTGAAGCATGATGCTTGCACTTCAGGCACCAACGGAATGTCCACCACGAATCCGCACCACTGCAACTGTATCATTGATCAGATCTTCACTGGCGGGCTGCAGTCGGACGTGGTGTGCCAGTCCTGCAAGTGAGTTGCTGTGCGATGTTTTTTTATTCACTTACCCCCTTTATCTCGCACCTGTGCGTCACTCTTAGACTCAACATTGGCACTAGTACCTTAAGAGCCAGTTTTTGTAGGCATTATTATTATCATTCTTGTTGGTGAAATAACTTTTATTGGAAATGACAGGAAAGGAATGACCAAATGAAATGTTTGGTGTAATATATTTCTATGTGATATTCTTGTTAATGGCTGCCTTAACATTTTTAATGTCATATTCTTATGTATAAGACATTGTATTTAAATGTATAAAACATTGAAATACCTCTACCAGTTTCTACTGTAATAGTCAGGTTGCTTCTATAACTACTTTTATTGACGTTGTAATGTGCTTGTAAAGTTTTGTGTATTCATAATACCTTTTCATCTTTTATGATGTACATTTACTACGTATGGTCGTTTATTGTTATGATGTCTCCCTTACCCGTGCTTCTAACAAGACTTGCAATCACTTTATTAAATCAATCAATCAAATAAATACTGCTGGTGCTGTCAAAGAAGTGTAGTGGTCCAATTGGACTAACCACACCAGTGGTCAACCACACCAGCATGGCATTCGAGGTGTCCAGGCGTGGTGAGGGAATGGAATGGTGCTCCATGGTGCCCCTGATGTGCTCCAGTGCAATTTGTTGAAAATGCCTTTAGTGATCGCAAGCCTTGAAATGACTTGTTACTAGAGATTGAAAGAGTGTGCTCAGCACCTACCGCCTCCCTCCCTCCCCCTCCCCCCCACACACATAAGAAACCTTAGCATTCTAGACATTTTAGTACTATAGTACAAGAATCAACTGAGCATAAACTTGGAAAATTTTATGATGACAACGATTTATTTAATCTACCCCTCTCAAAACACAGCTACTTGGGCTTTTTTCCACCCTGCTAAATTGGGAAGGCTATGCGTTTTTGTAACATGTCATTTATCATTTTTTAAATGTATGAGCTTTCTTGATAGCTTTAATTTAAGAAGGGGGTGACAGCATGTCAACTGGAAGTTGGACCTCTTGGCATTGATTTGGAGTGCGTCATTCAGTTTTCAGGCTTTGGAATATGTATGCTATTTATTGGCATTATGTTGCTGAATGTAATATATTGTATAACAACGGCTAATTGAAAATGCTAATTAGGATAACGACTACCTCGGCCAGTGTATGACGTTTTTGACACTTTCATTATCCCTTAAAGACACTTCATAATCAATACCAGTCAGAAACTCTTGATCTCTTTTACTAAAAATAAAGAAATAAAGTGATTATGGCCTTTTTGTCACTGGTGTGCCACTGACAATATTTAAAGTTTGTAGAAATTAGGCATACCATAAAGCTTTAGTTTAACCAACCTCCAAGTGGGCAGCAGAGCCAAGTATTGTGACCATTCTTACTATTTTATTAATTTTCTTTATTATAATTTGGGTTTTGTTTTCTTTGACGAATAATATTGGGCAAGGTCAGGGGTCTGCATTGACAGTCAGGTGAGTATCGTAAAATGCAACACCTAGTGGTTCATGTCTAGAGTACTTTTGGGAAGTCACTGCACAATTGGCGGTAAGATTTTTATTATTTCAAGCAGAGGATGGGGGGATGCCTGCTTGTAGTACATGTGACCCCTAAGGGATGAAACCAGTTTGTATGTCTTGACTCTGTGCAGAGGCGTGTCCACAACCATCGACCCATTCTGGGACATCTCTCTGGACTTGGGTCCGAGCAGCCACCAACAGCAGGAGCACAACTCTTCACCAGGTGAAATGCCTTTTCTCTATGCCTAACCAGCTCGTTACACATGAACCTCTGCCTTGTACGGCGGGCACTAGATGTCTGGAATCAGTGCTGATTATTTTATAATCTTCTAATCTAATTGCACCAACAAACACGCCACGGTGTTTAGTAGCTAAGGCACTTGCTGCTGACTCGCAGGACGCGGGATCGGATCCTGGCTGCGGTGGCTGCATTTTCTAAGGAGGGGAAACGCTGTAAGCCCATGTGCTCAGATTTGGGTGCACGTTAAAGAACCCCAGGGGGTCGAAATTTCTGGAGCTTCTCACGGTGGTTTTGGGAAATTAAATCCCACATATAAATCAATCAATGGTTGGTATTTGGAACAGCTGTGTGTACATTAAATCTTGAATATTGTGTTTATAGTTGTCGGTATGTATGAAGAAAGCTGCCGAGAAGGTTCACTGATTCGCATATTGCTCGTGTGCGGCATAACATTTTTTTAGTCATTAATTAGTCTTGACCAACATTGATGAATGATTGGCATGTTGCTGTAAAGAAAAGGTGAACAAAAAATGTTGAGTTTGAAAAGGTAATTTTACAATCTCATTCCTTTGCTTTTACAGAGGCAGAAGACTCGGAACCAACGTCTCTTTTAGACTGTCTAGAAAGGTGAGTGAAGGAATTTTCGGTTTTTGTAAAATCTAAATAAATAAGTACCTTGAATATGAGTATTCTTGTAGTGTATGGTAATTGAGGTGTGATGTACCTTATTAGACCTTGTCTTGGTAACCTTTGTGTAGTCATGAGCGTCAACAAAGAACCTTGTTTACCAGCACTGAAGGATGAATCAATCCAGTCATTGAATCACTCAATCAGCTTTGTGATTGGATTGATTTAAAATTTGTGCAGTGACTTATTTATGCTCTGGAAAAAAGAAACCTACCACAACAAAGAGTTTCACAAACACTCTTCTTTGACAGGCCATCTTCAAGTGGACCTTTTATTTTTTTGCATAGCATACATGTGGATTAACGTACTATAGTTGACAGGATTTGTCGTTTTAATTTTTACACCTTAAAAGTTGTTACACAAAGTAGTATTAGGCCATCCGTAATTCGGATTACTGTGTATTAACTGTGCTTATACAAGACCATGCTTGATAAGCAAGCTGGCATTGCGGAACACCGGAGTTGCACTTTACTGAGAATGCGTACCATGGAAAGCCGAACAAGTGCCTTCACCCGAGCAAGTGCTTCCCTCTCTTTTTCGGGAGATCTGAAATAAGTGCAAACGACCGGGCTTTTTTTTTTTTGACACGGATCGGCATTTTTAAAATCTTTAGCAGATCTCCCGCAGCCGTCTTAAATTTCTGTCCGGGAACAAGCAAGTGCCCTCCCCCCAGTGATCCTTCACCATAAGGGTGTGCTTGCTAGGCATTTTACGATAAGTGTTCCTTACGGGCGAAGCTCCTTATGCCGTGGGTCGTACGTGTCGTATTGTCGTCATAGCAGTAGTAGCCACCTTTCATTTAGTCCTTAGAATGTCCACTGAATGGCGGTACTTGCATATGATGAAAAGATGCAAGGTGGCGGTACTTGGAGTGTTTCCTAGATGAACGGACAGACAGACGGATGCATGGACGGACGGATGGACAGACGCATGTACGGAAGCAAGCACGAACGAATGGACGGAAGCACAGACAGACTGACAGGCGCTTCGCTCCACTCATGATCATTCACTCCGTGGATATGCTGTGATTTTTTTCACTATGTTGAATTTCAGGTAACTGTTCTGAGCGTGGAAAGAACTACTCTTGACATTAAATGTCATTAAATGTCTCAAATTCGCAATGCATCTAGCCATTCTTGGGCAACAAGTGCTGTGTATGCACATGGGTACAGTACCATGGCTGCTGCAAAAATTTGCTGCTTGAGAAATTGTGTGGGTTTTCTATATTGCAGCCTATGTCGTCACACTGTGCCTACTTTTGTCTGGATTCTAGCTCGATTTTTGCTCACTTGCAAATGTTCGACATACCATAACTTTTGTTCAGCTGGGTTTAGAGCATTTATTTTAGTGGTACTGTGCACTGTTGTGGTTCCAGATTATTTTCCAGATGCTGGTTTACTTTGAAAATCTTTGTGTAGGAAAAGTCTTGCTCACAAAAGCCACTTGAAACGTTATGTACAGTTGATTCTGGAAATATCAAACTTGGATATATCGAACAGTTGAGAAATTACCTTGAATTTTTTATGCAGAAGTATGGGACTGGTGCATCCGTATATCAATCTCCCGCACAGTGACACACCCACTAAAATTTAACGCTGCGCTGCCAAAGCCCAGAAGGTGCAATTTTCTTGGCAAATATTGATCGATTTCTAGCCACATTCTAACAAGTTGCAATTCCTTTTCACGCGCAGGTGACAAGAAACGGTGTTATTTTCGGTTGTGGTGATCTGGTTCATTGCACAGCACTTGCGAGTTCACCAATATGTTGGATGCGCGATCCGCAGGTCTTGGTGCATGGCCATTGTGTTTTTTAAAAGGACCAACTGCTGAGAACACCAAATTGAAAATGCGAAGTGACTCAGTGATCTCGTTGCAATGTCCGCAATCTCTTTCTTGTTTGTTAGCAGGAAATGGCATGAGAGCCTGAAAAGCATGGCCTTCGAGTTGAACAACCTCGTGACGTATTTGTAGTGTTGTCTGTTTCAAAACACGTGTCTCGGAGGCTATGCCTTTTCTAGCTTTCCACATCGAAGCAGCTGAAAGCAGCGAATGCCAGCTGCAAAGCCACTTCTCGCCTTGTACCTTATAAATCCTCATGCGGTAGTTGAACTGAACGTCGACTCGATCGTAGCGATAAAAATTATAACTAACGCTTTGAGCGATGTCAAGTAAAGCACTGCCCTAAACTTTCCTTGCGAGCCAGGCGACGACTTCGGGTGCGTCATGACCACTGACAACAGCGTACGGTGGCTCAGTGAACTCTGACTCATCAGCGTTTCCGGGCACCGTCTCGGACAGTGAGCAACTTCATTGGCACGGATGACGACGTAGCTACCTCTGTCTGCATCGATGCTGAGATCATGGCTGCTGTTGCCGGTGCCATAGAAGTGTAGCTATAGTAGTGTAGTAGTGTAGCAGTTGTACGCCAACGTCTTTGCTGCCGCCGCTAACCAAACTTTTGCCACGCTACGAAGCTTCGATCTGCGTTCTGCGTCAATCAATGTTGTTGTGGCCGAGGGAGCTGAATTCGCTTATTTTAAAAGCTTCAATGATTGTTGATGACTGGAACTTGACGGCGTGCTAGAAGCAAGGCAATTTTACGGACTATATTCATGAAAAAAAGAGTGTGGTTCAAACACCTCGTTTTTCATTTTAATGTAAGTAAATCAATATGCTAGTGCTTTTAATGATTTCTAAAGCCTGAAATGCTCTAATTTAGGCCCTAAATACGAATATTTCGTATTTTGGATTCTTAATATATCGAACTATTTCACAATCCCCTTCGAGTTCGATACATCCGGGATCGACTGTATTTTAAAAACTCCACATTACAATAGAAAGATAATTGCATAGTTGCAGTCGGCGCACAAATATACATAGACTCAAAGAGTTTCACTGAAATCAATGGACAATAGAAATTAAATTTTAAAGGACGTTGTTGTGACTGGCGCTGGAGCTGACGAGGCAGCGGCGCTCTTTGGATCTTCAAACAAGTAGCCAACAGGCTGGCTGCCTATGACGGCCAGGCATTGTCCCTCCTAGCTGGAGGGTCAGGCGTCGTGTCGCCACAACGCCGTAATTGGTTCGGGAGACGACAAGTGCAGCAGCTTCCTTGAAAGATGCTGCGGCGACCGCCGCAAATCGCCCCGCTGATTGAGCGAACTGATCGGTGGACCCTTTGATGTATGCTATCATGAGTTTGGGACCCCATGACCAGCGGCACACACACGACGACGAAGAGCCCCGCTGGCGCCACCTCATACTGCAGAGTCACGCCTCAATATTGGACGTTCACGTGGGCCGTGCATGCTCGTCCCCCTCGCCAGTTGTGTGTGATCTGTGATTGGACAGTACGATCTGCACGTGTTCCCTGATTTAGGGATCTGGGGAGCACATACCCTTTATAATGAGCCACCCGGCTCATTCGAAGGAGCGCCATGTAGAGGAATGCCAGATTCGAAAGCTCCCCATGTAAGAAAGAGCTCGTCATGTACGAGAGCTCACCTTGTACATGATGTAAATAAACCCTCTTCAAGACTTTCTTCCTCCTGCCTCGTCAAAATCATCCCGGACCTCCGGTGCCTGCAAAACCCGGTTGTAACAATGTGTCTACATACCCTTAAGACTGAGTTGTCTCAAAAGTACTTCAGAATAACTTGATCGGAGAAGTACTAATGAAAGCTAACAGACAATCATGTCAAGGAAAGTATAAGGGATGTTATTAGAGCTAATTGTCATGTAAATTTTCATTTACATTTACAATTACTTCGAATAACATCCTCTGCACTTTGCTTATCTGTTAAATTTACATTACAATTGCTTCTAATAACATTCCCTATACTTTCCTTAGCATGATTGTCTGTTATGCTTTGTCAATATTGTCTAAAAAAGAACTTGAGCCCTTATATGTACATTTTCCTTCACAATTAGAGAAAAGTCATCAAGCAATCAAAGACATAAAGTTTCTTAATATTAACTAAAAGGGATTCTGGCGCTGCGATCGTTTAGAAACCATCGGAATGATGAGTAGTACAGGAATTTACCTAGTCTTTGCAATCGGGGGCCTCGAATCACACTTGAGGCTTTGAACGAATCCTTTTAACTTCGTGACCTGATTTGAAATGGTAAGCCTAAATGATTAAGGTGGTAAAGCGCAACCGTTGAACATTTGCTGATTTTCGTTTCGTGAATAAACAGCTTCAGGCCACGTGAACACAAACGGAGCCAGAAGTACAAAGATTAGGCAAATCCGTGTACTACCCATCATTTCCTTGCTCGCTGAAGCGCCGTGAGTTGCAGCTCCCATAGACACTTGTGCCCGAGTTACCTCTAGTGTATTTACAGGAAACTCTACGATCTGGGAACTCTGTGTCTGTCGCCAGGTTCACCCGTCCTGAGCACCTGGGCAGTTCTGCCAAGATCCGGTGCGGCCGGTGCGAAAGCTACCAAGAGTCGACGAAACAGCTGACCATGAAGCAGCTGCCCGTGGTGTGCAGCTTCCACCTGAAGCGCTTCGAGCATTCGTCTCGCTTTCACAAGAAGATCTCCTCGCTCATCAGCTTTCCGCAGTACCTGGACATGAGCCCCTTCATGTCGGGACCCCGGGCTCCGTCGTCGTCATCATCGTCTTCCAAAGGTGGACGGGCTGCCTCCTCTTCGAGCCCAGCCAGTCCGGCTCCTCAACCCTGCCATGATAACAAGTGAGTCGCAGAGCTGTCTAAAGTTTCCATGCAGCGTGAGGTGTTAACTAGGCATCAGCAGTATGCTATGTTTACCTTGTGCCTGTACCAAATTGAGGTAGTGTTCTCGTCTTACAATAAAAGAAGGCTCAACAAACTATTGCTGCCTAGATTTTCAGCCAAGCTGAATAATTGGGTTTTGAAATCGGTAGACACAAAGTTGCATCAATTTTTTTAATACTGGCCAGGTATAGTCAATCTTGATACTTGCCGAGTTCATGAATGTTTATATGCACTTATGAACACGTTTAATATGCTCTCATTTTTCTCTTATACATAATGCATTGTTTTTTAAATATGAAATATTTCATGTCCCTTTTGAGAAGCACAATTTTTCTTAAACCAAGATAGTTGAAAAGTGAATACTAGACGTATCAAAATAACATGGAATCGGAATTGTGCACGAACAGGTGAATGCTATGCTGGGATTTCACTCATTAATGTTTCACATGATACCGTGAGTAATGTTCAAATGGGTTTAGAATATCAGTTTGTGTTTTACTGCCAACAGTTTCTGTTCCAGCTTATTGATTTTTTAACTATCTCAGTTTTGGCAAAATCTTGGTCCCAAAAAGCGCATGAAATGCCTTGTATTTTGGAGACTACAAATTATACTGCAACAATTTGAAATCAGCAAATACATGTCGTGTGTGATCTGTGATTGGACATTACCATCTGCACGTGTTCCCTGATCTAGGGATAGTATGTCATATTATTTAGTAGTTAGAGCAAGCCCTCACGATGGCTAAGTTTGTCATCATTAAAGAATGGATAATAGGCAAATGCCCATTTTGTACTTCGCGTTCCTATTGTTCCTCTATGATATGTGAGCGTGACTCAGAGGTTGAGGAAGGTTAAGAAGTGCCTAAAACACGCTTTTCTGGTACCTAACTGTTCGGCTTCTAGTCGTCTGTATTTGCACATACATGTATTTCAGCTAAATTACACTCGTTCAAGGTACAGAAAGCGTAAAGTGTCCCGTAGCAGCCAGCCCTGAGGGATTCCTGATGTTGCAGGTATTGCCTATTTGCTGTCGTGAACCACAGTGGCACTATTGAGACTGGCCACTACACGGCTTACGTGCGGCAACACCGGGACCAGTGGTTTAAGTGTGACGACCACCTAATCACGCGGGCCAGCCTACAGGATGTGTTAGATTCAGAAGGGTGAGTGTGCACAGCTCTGTCACTACCTTCATTTGTATGTGGGCTAATTTGTTTTTATATATGAATTTACCTTTCATTGAGGAAGCCTTGTCTCAGACCAATACTTGTTCATGGGGCCACAACATGGTCATCCAACAATTTGCTGTTTTCAACAAGAAAAGAAAGTATTGGGTCTATCGTGCCTATACATACAGTCGACGTCTGATTTCCCGGACCCCCAAGGGATTGCGAGAACGTCCGGAAAATTGGGCAGTCTGGAAAAACGGATGCAAGCGAAAACGCTTTTAAATAAGTATTTTCTTGGCGGAGCGGGTCATGGCAGGAGTACAGAATTCTCATTGCAATTAAGCAAATGCATTGTTTAGGTGCTGTGAAAAGAGTCTTGTATAACCGCCCCGCGAGTGCCTTGAAGATGTTCGCTGCAATGTAGCCCCAGTCCCCCCCCCCCCCCCCCCCCCCCCGAGGAAGGAACCAAGTCAGTTCCAAAACACACACAGGAAGCTGCAGGTTATTTCACCAGTCAAGAGTATGACAGTGTTGCCCGAATTTCGCGTGTTTGTAAAAATATTCAATTATTAATTAATGCAGTTTCACCCCCTCATTTGGGAATATGCAAGGAGTAACCCACATAACACAGAATATGATCTGTAATTGGGTGTCGTGGTGCTTTAAGTCATTGTAACTTCAGGCGTAGAGCAGCTGTAGAGTTGTGCATGTATGTACGTACATGTGTGTGTGGTTACATGTGCCCACTTTGAACATGAGGTTAATTCTTGTTTGTATAATTTGCGTATGTACTAAGCTTCCACTGTCTTATTAAGAACATCACAAGAAAATAGTTGGCTCTCCTGTAATCAAGAGCAGATGTTATAGTAGCCACAATCTTAACTGGGTATAGTGCATGCTTACACCCCTCTCCTACTGCTACACAATACTTTACTGTCCATACAGATCTTGAAGGCCATGCTTTTGCTTGAGAGACACTGAAAGTCAACAGGTGTCTAGTGCCAAGTTCAGTGTGCAATAACTACGCAGGGAGCCCTGCCGTGGTGGTCTAGTGGCTAAGGTACTCAGCTGCTGACCCGCAGGTCGCGGGTTCAAATCCCGGCTGCGGCGGCTGCATTTCCGATGGAGGCGGAAATGTTGTAGGCCCGTGTCCTCAGATTTGGGTGCACGTTAAAGAACCCCAGGTGGTCGAAATTTCCGGAGCCCTCCACTACGGCGTCTCTCATAATCATATGGTGGTTTTGGGACGTTAAACCCCACAAATCAAATCAAATCAATAACTACGCAGGGAATAAAATTTTGACTAATTTTAGGCGTAGGCACTTAGTTATTGGACTGCTTAGCAGGACTAGGTGGAATTGAAGCAGGCCGGTAGTGCCTGAACAATGTGCATGATCGAGGTGTAAAGTGATGGGGGAGGGGCCTTCCTGGACCAGCATCGAAACTTGTAATCAGCAGTGAAATTGGAGTGGTAGCTCGCTCGTATGAGAAGTTAGGGGTGCTTTCGTGAATTTTAGTGGGTAACTTTCTATGAACTGCCTTGCTTTTTTTTTTTTTTTTCAGCTACTTACTGTTCTACCACAAGCAGATCCTGGAGTACGAATAAGAAGAGCCCGGCGTTCATTCCTTGTCGAGATGCGGAGAAAAGAGCGAACTGGCCCTAGTTTGAAACTAGCCCATTTAAGTACATTGTGTGTGTATGTGCATGCGCAGAGACTTAATTTCCTGTGATCTTGTTTCTCATCACTGTATCACTGTCGGTTGTGTCTTCTGCCCCGAGAGCGAATGCAACATGCAGACGGTTTCAAAACGGGTCTGCATCATCGAGTGTTTTTTCGAGCGAATCGTGGAGAGAATGGCTTAGGTTTTCCAATTGCTGTACAACACACCCCTTTCACCAATCATCGTTGCTGTCCTCTGAGCTTGGCAACACTGTGCCACTTCACTTGCTCAATAAATTATTGCTTCCTCGCATGCTGTTACTCCGCCTGTGCTTGTGTTGAAAAGGGTTTGGGGTAGGGGGAATTGTGGTCTGGGAAAAAAATTTTTAAATTATTGATAGATTTTGATTAGACTTGCTAAGTTATTGCATATATACATATTAATTTCAGATCATATACAATCACTTTTTTAGTACCATATGTTGTTTTTAGAATATCATTCATCCCATTTGCCGTTTTGAAAGCGAGAGTTTGCAAAAGCTGTGAGAGTAACAAATTAATATGGCAAGAGGACTGTGTGTAGTAAAACAATAATGGACTTTGTTAACCCTTTTTAACAAAAGTTGTGAAATGTTAAACACTCATGAATTAAATCTCACCTTGGCATGGACTCATTTGCAAATGCTGCCTTGACAAGGCTAGTCCACTTGTTTTATGTTGGCTCCGGGGGCAATGTTCAAGAATATTTTTAATGTCTTCAAGCCCCATACAAAATATTAAGACAATAATTATGCAAATGTCAGTTTGACATGTGAAGTGATGAGTAAAACTGCTAATGGCAACATTAGTTCGTGAGATGCCAAACAATGCAATAAGGTTTTCGAAACAGTTTGCGTACTGTCCACAGAAAAAATCTTTACAAATTGAAAACAAAATGGTTGCAGGAACTGGGCATGTAGAGTATGCCTACTTCAGTTCAGCAACAAAAACTGAAAAAGTTTTTAGGAAATAAAGAAGTAGTTATTTGACAGGTGAAGCAGACTCTGGCCTCCCTACAGCTACTGCAGGTGGCTTAATTTAAGGAGCCATGTATGGTAATTTGAGACCTCCCCTACTGGCACTGCCCCTGCACGGGCTGTGCGCAGACCCAGGTGTTAGGGAGGCAATATGTTCTGACCACCATCCCCTACCTTAATTTTCGAACGTATACCTGCCAAAGAAGGGGACCTACCAGATCCTTCAATAAGCAAACCCCCCCCCCCCATTTCCATAAGCACTAATCTACAAAAAGCTTTTCCTGACACTCTGCCAGCTGCTACAGGTTAGTGAACTGAATTCCTAAAAACAATGGGATGCCTAGGCAAGCATGCACTAAGCTGCACTTAAATGTGCCAGTTCTTTGGACGTGCTTCGGCAGTAGCTCAGCAGCAGCAAGATTGTGCGTATACGAAGTAAGGGACCAGACCGAAAAGAAAAAAAAAGCCGTCAAGCCAGCTACCAGGGACCATATAGCTGCCAAGCCAACTAACTGCTAAGCCAACCCAGTGAAGTTTTCAAAAATACTCTTGAAGAGCAGAACTGGGGGTGCATTTCTGCTACACAACAAAAACTCGCCTGATCCCTTGTGGATTCACCCAAGACATGTCAATGTACGTGTTGATCCTGCTCGCCACCCTCTGAAAGCTTTGTGTGTTTAGTAATTTTTTACACAGCCTCCGTGATCGGCCCACGTTTGACCAAGCTAGGATGTCATGCAGCGGTAGGTGAAATTTTTTTTCGGAGGGTGGGGGGGGGGGCACTTTTTTAAAATGGTCATTTGATGCTCTGTATGACAGTGCGAAAAAAATTTCGGGGACGGGGGGAGGGGGGGTGCACGGGCCGTGGTAGCGTGCCACTACCGTCTGTGTGATGGCGGCATTGTGACGTCACGTCAGAATTGCTGACGTCACGATGAAGCCGCAAATTTTCGTGGTAGACGTCGTAATGACGGATTGTGGTGACATTATTACGTGATGAGAAGATAGGCACGTGCCAGCCCCACATAGAAGTCTTAACCAATAGAGAGGCAGTCGCATAAACCCGGTCTGGGCATGTCATGTTCCCACCGATGATAGAAAAAATAAGTGCAAGCACTGTGGGATGAGAGCTAGCGTGAACCACATAATCTGGTAGTGCGATAGATCTTCAGGTGCTAAATATAAGGCCTGGGAAGCCCTGTTGCGGAGCGAGAAACCTGCTGCGCGGCAACAATTCCGCTGACGGAAAAGGCGCGGTGAAGAGCTAAGACCTATTCGCGTGCGTTTAATCGCGGAGGTGCCAGCCCCCGTCACCTAGGCATGTGTGCCGGGGCGCAGAAGGCCACCTGATCAGGCGAAAGATAAAGGTATCATCATCACAATGATTTCTTTCATTATTCGTGCTGTGCCCGCTTTCGCCTCGATAATTGTCATCTCACGTGCCTTGCACCTGTGTGCCCGCTACTGCAGGCACGAGCTGCGTGCACGTTCGTACTAGAATGTAATCAATTTAAGGTGGCAATAATTTGCAGCCGCGGTGGGCAGTCTTTTCGTCCCGACGAGGGGTTTGAATGGAGACAGATTCCAAGGCCTTCTTAACCGTCATTATGGACGGGTGCAAATAAATGTTAATTTGCTCTCTCTCGCCATAACAATTGATCATCATCTGGTTTTCTTACGGCACTCGCCACTTCAAAGGTGCTTTGCAACAATTTTCGAGCACGGTCAGAAAGCGCTGCCGATCGTGTATAGTAGAGGCTGCCGAGAACACACGAGCCAAATATCATAGCGATGCACGCGACCTGGAATTCACAATAATTCTCAAAGTCGGCTAAAAATTGCTTTATTTTTTTCTCTACAAATGACGAAACAAGCTAAAAAATCACTCGTCACAGCTGTTGTATCAGCCAATGGCTGATTTGAGGATCGCGCGCTTGGTTGTTACAGGAACAACCGCGGGAGGTCACGACTTGTCCATGCGGGATCAAAAAGCGCGCTGCGTACTCAAAGAAAAGAAAAAGAAAAAAATGCTCAAGGTCATAAGGGGCGCGTGGCGTTTTTCTTTCCCGATGCAAATCTTAGCGATTCCGCTCGTGCTAGACGGATTCTAAAAATTTTTGAGGTGATCAGTTTGTAAGGCAATAATTTCCTTTTAAAATCCATTCCATGGCAACACTGAAAAAGTGTTGCCAGGCCCTTTAAGGAAAATTGAGGCACGCGAGACAGATGACGGTATATCGTTGTTAGACAGAAGAGTCTTCAGCGAATGCGCCCTCAATTGCTTTTTATTGAGTGTGTCTTACATCTCGGGAGGCAAGAATAGTTTACTGATTTTATTCTAACTCCACGTCGGTAGGGGTTTTTAGGGGCGAAGCTCCTTATAGCGGCACCCGTTCGTCCCTCGTAGCCGTTGTAGTAGCGTGTAACAAGTATAACATTTTGACCTCCAAGGTGGTGCCGGCGAGAGATTTCTTCTGTGCGTTGTACATGTGCGTTGTTCTGTGTGTGTGTGTGTGCTCAATGTACATGCCAATGGCTGCTAAGGGGGAATGACAGACAGGAGAATTCGGTTTTTAGTTAATGCACAGGCTGCGAATTTTTTATTGTTCAACAACGCACAGAAGACAAGAAAGGGTTGCTACGCGTCATACTCGCTGGACGTAACCTCCTAGGTTTTAGAAAGGTTTAGCGAGCTTTGGGCCGCAGTGCCATAAATACAGTGAACTAGTGTATATACCATGAACTCGAGGTGGTTAAAAGTGGGAAGTATAGACGAAGCGCAAGCCATAAGAAAGTGTGCGTGTGCCTCCTCTCGTTCAGTCCTTGGAACGTCCGCTGGATGGCGGTGCTTCTATATGTGGAATATATGATGAAAAGATGCGAGATGGTGGTGCTTGGAGTGTTGAATAGGTGGACGAACGGGCACGGACGGACGTAGGAGCGGATGCTTGGACGAAAACAGGGACGGACGCATAGATGAACGTACGGACGCGTGGACAGACGCACGCACGGGTGGCCTCACAGACGCTGGCATGGATGGACGGAAGCAAGAACTAATGGACGGACGGATGCTTCGCCCCACTATCCATCATTCACTCCGTGGATATGCTGCCATTTTTTTTTTTTGTCTCTCAACTGTAATCGCCTCCTAGCTTACTTGAGACACCCTTGCTGAAGAATAACATATGCATGTATTTTGTGTTTTTGCGCACCTCCCTCGCCGCAGCACGTTTACACGTGCACTTTTATTTACAATCTTATTGTTTCGTTTTCGCGGTTCTTGAAAAAAAAGAGAAAAAAAAAGAAGACTTCAATGGACATTTGAACAGCAGCTGCGGATGTTTAGAGTGCTCGCGCCCAGATTAGAACAGGTGTGAGTGGTCACATACATTACCTAAAAAAATCTTTACACTATATAGTTAACCTCCCTGCCTTTCCTCTCCGTTTCCCTCTCTCTATACGCTACGTCACTACGTCGCTGCAGTTGATCCTGGCTCTGGTAGGCAGGGGCATGGTCAGAATCTTGCGAAGGTTCAGACTGAACTGAAGGTACTTTTGTGGTCCTGTTGTGCGTTGTAGAAAAAATAATAAACGCCGACCACAATGAAAACACCAAAACAAAAAAGTTTTGGCTCCCGCACAATCGCTTTGTTCACAATCACGATACGTCTTTTTTTTTTAACGTAGAAATTTCATTGGGGTCAGCATTAATTTATTTTCTGCAATGGCTCCCGACCAGACGGGATTCCATCAGACGTACGTTCCTGCGTGAGTTACAGAATTCAAAAATTTCTGGGTGAGGGAAGGCTTATTTCCCCTCCCCCTCCGCACGCTCCCCTGGATGCTCTAGCCGACTGGCCTTTCACTCACATTGACGTTCCTGCACACGTCGGGGGATACGCATGAATTCGTGGAGGTGCAAATACAAGGGAACATGGTGGTGGTGGTGGTGGTGGGGTGGAGCTGAAGTTCTTCAATAGTTCCAGATGCCACCTTCCCTCCCGCCATGAGTAAACATAGCCGGAGCAGAATATGCATGAGTTACTTTGGCCGCCTTCTTGCCACCCTGGGAGAACTCACTTGTCATGGTGCCCCCCTCCCCTAATGACAAAATCCTGGCAATGCCCCTATGCAAATGTATAAACCATAATCACGTGAAAACAACGAAAGAAAAAAAGAAATAGCGCTGAACCGGGCTTGTAGTGAACGTGTACCTGGTGAAATCTGGAACACCTTGAAAAAAAAGCGACACAGTCTGGTTTCCTTCCATTTTCTCCCGTCCGTGTCGTTTTCGCGCTGTTTTTAAGATCATCAAGAACCATCGCCAACGAACCCATTTGTCGGTACATGCATACGTCGGGGTTTGAAGATGAGACCGTTGCCGTCAGCTTTTATAATGCGCCATCTTCCCACTCGCATACTGGGACGCGGGCCAAAACACCGCGTGGCCCGTGACAAGAGCCGCCATCATGCGTCGTTTGTTTGTTTATTGCCATTCGGTCCCGTCAGCGTGACGTATGCACTCCGGTGCCAATTCGGGCGGTGCGAGGTCGGGTTAGTCCCACACGAGACCTGGGGTCGTGCCGTGCTGGGCCACGCTTTCTATACGCCCGCCTTGGTGTTGCGTTTGTATTGTGCTTCCACGTAACGCTTGCTGTAAACATGCCCAGGAGCTGATGAGCTCGAGGTAAGGATCTTTTGCGTGCTTCTAAACAATCGCCTATAGTGATAGTGTCGATGTCGTCACAGAGGATGAGTAGAATATCACCTTGTCGTAATTTATGCCTAGATAACATAGCCAAGGGCGTCGGCAAGGCAAGCAATGCAAAAGTAGCATTGCCCCCCCCCCCCCCCCCCTGCACGTACGTGCACCCCAAGCCTTTCCAGCGCTTGTTGTCATCCCGCGTGCAAATTTCCTTGCATGCCACATCAATGTAAAAGGGTCATATCCGACTGGATCATTGAATATGATTTCTTTTTTCAGCTGAATAGACTTTCAATAATTCACATGGTCATTATTAAACCGGAGGTACTTTAGAACTTTTTACTTGGCGAATTGGTGCGTAAGTTTGCGGAACGTGTTACTTATGGCGCACCGCTTGCAACATGAAGACGAGAAAAGCAGAAAGACAGATGAGCGCTTTTCTTTCTTTCTTTCTTTCTTTCTTTCTTTCTTTCTTTCTTTCTTTCTTTCTTTCTTTCTTTATTTCTTTCTTTCTTTCTTTCTTTCTTTCTTTCTTTCTTTCTTTCTTTCTTTCTTTCTCTCTTTGTTTCTTTCCTTTTTTCTTTCTTTCTTTCTTCAAGCACTGCGGCACAAATAACATGTTCACCAAACTGGAGGTATTCCCGCTGAAAATGGAACTCTTTTCTTCTGGGGCATATTGCAAGCCTGGTGCTTTCGCACTCCATAAAAAAGAAAGGCTTATTTAGCGTGTCTTTCTGTCTCACTGCAATAATCGACATCTTGCTTGAGTTTCCTGTCGTGAAAACTCCGCGACCGCCTACCTATAAATGCTCACACAGAACTTCAAGAAAGAATGAAATGGAGGCTTGAACTACTCCCTAGGACCAGGATAAAGCTTTATTGATTGACTGACTGAAATGGCTAATAGCTGCACTCAACTCAACGGTGGTGTCGCCTATTCAAAGCATGTTTGTCACCTCGAGGCAGGGCATAGCTAGAATATTTTTTTTTTTGAAAAAGGGAGAGGGGGTAACATGATCGCCTGGCAGGATCTTCTCTTGGGCGGTGCAAACCAGCCTTGCATGAGCAAAGTGAAGTATGCCCATGTCGTTTCCACTTTGTTTTGTGTCTCCTTCCTTACTTCGTATACCACAGTAACTGTAGCGCGGTTTTTAAATATCTTGCATCATGCTGTGGTAGGGGAAGAGCACTGGTGTAGCGTGAGTGACGGCAGGCACTGGTGTGGCTTGAGGGGGGCAAGTGCCCCTTTTGCACCCGATGCCGATGCCCACGGGGGCTACTTTACCAACATATATACAATGAAATTTACGTGAATCAGATCATAGCTGACACCCTTGACTGTGTTCAAGATATGCAATTTCCTTGACGCCCGTGCCACCACCCTGTATCGTGTCACTAGCACATCTTAAACGAGCGCTTTCGCTCATGTCAGATCTTATTTCAATGCAAAAGGTCTCGAAAATATTGCGTGCACGTGTCGCCGTCTTCAGTAAGACGACATTTTGACATCCGCACTGAGAGTTTCGTGCGGCTAGGCAGGGGCGTAGTCAGGGGGTGGCACACCGGGCACGTACTCTCCCCCTCCCCCCTCGAAAAAAATTTCTGGCTAGGTGACAACCGATGTGGCCCTTCAAATTCGGATGTAACACGACAGGGTGATTACCGAAACATCACAATCACAGCATTCTGCAAGCTTGTTAGTGTATTTTTTTGCCACGTCTTTTCCTATAGCATTCTCTTTTGGCCTTACAATACATGCTTGATAATGTGCTCTGTGCAAAAAAAAAAAAAAAAAGAGGCTTGCTTCCTTGGCTACCTTTTTTCATACATACGTAAATAAATGTAAGAAATAAGCGTATGAGAAAGAGCGACAGGGGCAAATGCCACAAGAAAGGGGCATTTTAAGTCATCTCGCTGAGAACATACGCTTTAGGGAAGGTACCAGATAAACAAAATACTGGGAAATAAATACTTGAGACCGAAGTAAGAATAAGGTGCCATGACGCACTTCAAACCACCCGCTTACACCCAAGCTGATAATACGCATGCGCAGAGCAAAAGATACTCTCTGCAAGAACCTTTTCTTATGTGAGAGTAGGGTTAAAGAATTTGCTGCAGCAAAGTGGTCAGATAAAGGAAATGCTTTGTCAAATGACATCATGACATATATTTATAAAACTTTGAGAAAATGCAAACCACTGGGCTATCATTGAGAATCATTAAGCACAATACGTCAATTAATTGACTCAATTGGATATTTTGATATTTTGCTTGAGTGGGCGCTGCTAAGTTGACGTTGCTCTAGCGAATATGATAGGGTTAAGTTCATCGGCCATCAGCTGAAAACTGTCGCCGTCGTGAAACAAGACTTCATGTGTCAAAAGTAACAAAAGTGTGACGTAACCTTCGTGTTGTGCGTCCAAGGGGCCAGAACACTGCTGTTCTACTCCCAGAACTACCAGAAAATGAATATGCCGAAGTGACACCGACGCAGTAGTTGAGGAACAAACTTTTTTTTCGCTGTCTCGCACTGCGGTAGCCTTCGTAACCTTGGCACCTTGGCGTGATAATGTCGACGAAACTGGGAGAACGCTGTGAAAACGGCGACGACGATGACTCGGACCCATCAGGTGAGAATAAAAAAGTATTGCGAAATACTACAGCTGGGCCAATGGCTCATGTAAACTTGCCCTGAACACCTGTTGCTTTATATATCTGTAAAGTATGGGACCTGCTAGGAAGTTTCTCTGTAGTGTTTGCGGGTAACTGGTAGGCTGTACATTCGAGTGAAACTAAGCGTATATGTCGAACTTTCTACGCAGGGCAGTTGTATCGTCATTTCCATATCTTGCACCCCCTGGCGCTCTCTGGTTTCTGGTTTCGATGAGGGCGAAAAGCCGACACCCGAGTACTTATGTTTAAGTGCACGCTAAAGATTCTCAGGTTGTCGAAATTAATCCGGATGTCCCTCACTACGGCGTATCTTATCGAGGTTTTGGCGCGGAACACTGCAGCAATCGGTTGTGTTGTCAGGAGAATTTCACATAACGTCGCCGTCTTCCAATATATCAAAATCATAGCGTACGTTTGGTAATCAAGAAGCCCGAAAAGAAAAAAAAAACAACCTTACTACTAGTGTACAAAGTACACGACAGAAAAACGCAATGTTGAGGTGACGTAATGTTGTTTACAAACCTCCACGCCTCCACTACGCTGCTGATATAAGTTGGACATATCAGCACCGCACGACCTGACATGCCACGCAATAGGAAGCACTCGAGTTTTCAACAGGGATGTGATACGTGGCTGATAGCCATTTGATACGTTACAAGTGCGATGATAACTTAATTCATAATGATGCATATATCATAGTGAAGTTCACAGACAAGAAGGAGCTTCCCATTGTTTGCTTATGATTAATGGGATTATGAAAAAACAAACCAATTGGTTTCCTGTCCCCTTCATATGTGCATGCATGCATGCATTCAGCCAATAGTAGGTAAAAGGAAGGGTTAATGATCACGTTCAATTTTATACCTTAAATGAGACATAGAAGTGCCAGGATAGAGGGACGAAAGACAACTTGCCGATGCCGCAAACTTCCCGTACCGACCATATATGCTTTGAACAAGACTTTCTTGGATTCTGTGAAATAAGTAAGGCAGAGATGCATGTATGAAGTGACTAAAGCAATTAGTGGACGTTTCATACTGCACGAGGTGATTTTGTTTTGCCGCAGTGAATTTCAATGGGACAAAATGATACGTTTACTTACAATAGAGCATTGCATTTCGTTCAGGGAATGTAATAATAAAAAAACATGACCAAAATATTATAATCTGATTCAGCTTTTCGTGGTGAAAAACTTTACAGCCATTTCTTTCTTTAGCAGCAAAGCTGTTAAGTGAAATGTACCTTGTCCGATGAACAAAAAATAAGCTATCATCATCATAAACAGGTGCATGCCATAAAGTGGGTAAATTCCAATACTCAGCCCTGGTCCACTAGTAACGAAGAAAGCAACTCAGAGCTCATTTCAAATGGCAGTGAGCCAAAGACCTCGAATACGTACGAGAGAGCACTAGGTAACAGGAAAAGCAATGGCGGCCGCGAGAAGACATTGAAGCGATAGAAGGCCCACGCCAATGCTGATGTGCCCTTAGGTCCTAGACGGGTGTGGTGCTTCGTTTCAGCACGAGTTTCTATCTCTGGACTTTGGATATTTGGGTCGTAGCTGTGATTGTCTGTGGTTTAATTCAAACCTCCCTGTTATGAAAATAAACGCAGGAACAACCTTGCTAAAGCCTAGCAACGACCTAAAAAAACCTGCATCACCTAGCTAGGGCCTAGAAACAACATAGAGGAAATCACTTAAGTCTCCAGAATCTTAGTTTTGCACTTTCAAGTCTTGCACGGCTTAGTGCAGGCATTGTCTTTTTTTTTTTTTTCGTGAATTCGCAAGAGGTATTTCTTCATAGCAATTCATGTGATGACACAACAAACTGGCTCATCTTCCAGCAAACAACTCAGTAGACTGGGCACAAAGAAGGAATGAAACGAGACAGACGAGGGCAGACGAGGTTGTTTTATTCTTTGTGTCCCGCCTGCTGCATATTTTTCAAGATAAACCCTTTGCAACTTGCCCAGCTTTGAGTGCTTGTGATATCAACTGCTGGACCTGTTATGAGTGAAACTATGTTATTGAACTAGAAAATATTCCGCTATAACATATTTCGTGGGAAGCACAAAAAATGTTTCCTGGCCGTTCGGCCTGTTCCACATAGTGGATGGGACAGCGTGATCACATAGCTCATCATTCTTAGCCACTGGAAATGACGGGTAGCCGGCATTTGCTATGACAATTCATGCTTTCATGCAGCACCTCTTGCCAAATTTAGCGCGAAGAAGGCAGGTTTAAACTTGCATACATTCACATAAAAGTGCTGTCCAAGTGGATGCAATAGTAATCTGCAATCATTAATCTAAGTAAACTTCTTTATTCTCCTTAATGAAACAATATACATAAATCTGTGCATTTCTATAGCTCAAGTACTATCAGTTGCTGACAGGCATATTCACAATGAAACAATATTACTGGTATATATGAACTACATGAGAGTGCTTGACTCTTGCGATATTGCTCGAAGAATCGGACGTGGAAGCAAACACTGACAAAGCACTATGCAGCAGATTCTTTGTTAAATGGAGTCTGAACGAACCAGTAAAATATGTTCCCTTCAACTGGAATTCCATGAACAAGAGTGCGAATACGAGTATGACACCAATCTCGCCAGAAGCACTTGTTACATTTAAGCAGCAGTTCCATATAAGAGATTGCCCTTTACCAGAAGTCTACATTATAATAGTATGATCAAAAATAAAAATTGCATGGTGCGAACGTTATACAGTACCATATCTATCACCTGCAGTAGTAAGCCAGTTACGTTGGTACAGTGGTAACGAAAAAAAGAAATACCATTGAGTAAACGCATTTCTGACATATGTGTATCCAATATTCTCGAGTTATGCTCCCTCAGGTATATATAAACTTTGGCAAGTTCTAGTACATGTTTAGGCTTGTAGACTATATTACCCTCATTTTAAACTTGCTCCTAAACATGCACACATTTGTGCATATTTTCTTTAGAGCTCGTTCAAAATAATTCAGTTAATTTTATTTATTCCAATTACAAGTGCACTTCCATCATATTTTCAATGAAAGCTAACCCATGAAGCTAACCATCGATCCCTAGCATCTCAAAGAAAAGTAGCTTGCTTAACTTTGTTTATAAAGTTACATCATCATCCATCACTACAAAATGACTTCATTTCACTGCCGCATCAGTTGTCGCACTATATGAACCATCACTTCAAGGTTAGAATTAAAACAGGAAATACTAACACTTTTGGTCATTCTTTTCTCCCCAGAACATATCTGCAATGAAACCACCTTCCCAATGGCATAGTCACCATCAGTGCTAAACTTTTTTACGAATTTATAACTGAAATTGTTTAACTTGTAAAATATAACATGCTCTTTTTATCGTTCTTGTTGTTGAGTAATTAATAAAAAATTAGCTAACATTATATATGCAGGAAATAATCTTATGTTACCTTGTTTGTTCATGTTAGTACTTGTGAAGCATTTCCTAAAATCATCGTGTGTACTCCTGTTACCAGTCTGTTGTTTTAATGGGTTAATGTATAATTTTCTTGTATTATATTACTACCTAGTTTTTGTACAATTTCCTGTTTACCGTTCTTCTCTGTAAGGCCCTTGGGTCTTGAGGATACAATAAATAAATAAATAAATAAATAAATAAATAAACATTGCCATCATAAACTATGAAATAGAAATCAATTTGCTTCATTTTTGTTAATAGATACCACCTGACTGACTCACCAACTTAATTGCATCAAAATAAAGCTTGCCTTCTTGGCAACAAGTAGTATTGGCTAACAAACACTTTCAGGGATTACATGTACAGAAACAGACAACAAAGTTTACGGGGAAGCACCTTCCTTTGTAGCTTTATTAGTAGAGCATCAGACACCTTATTCGGAGGTCGTGGGTTCAGATCCCACCGATAGAAAGAGTGATTTCTAGTTCACTTTTAGATCATTTTAGTTTTCGTCATTGTTGCACACAACAGTTAAATACAAATAACATCCCGTGGGTTTTTCCTGGCCTTATTGTCTGCCATATTCATTTGGTTGTGTCTAAACTAAATTCCCAGACTTACAGTGCTGGCATAAAATGTTCAAATTAGAATTTTTGTTCACCGTTAAAACAGCTACCTCGTCATAAAGGACATCAAGTAGAGCCGAAATTATGCTCAATCAATAACAGCATTTAAAACAGAAGCGTACACATTTAGGTGCTCCATTTTTACTTGTACAACAAAAGATCGGAAGACATTGCCGCTACGTATCCTTCCTAACAGTGATTAATTTTGAATGATAACCTCATACGTGTCATGCTTTCTTTCCTTGTTTTCCTTTTAGTAGTATTCATGATACATTACTACAGGTCCTGGTTGTGCCTTCTTGCTTTTTAAGCGAAGTATCTAAATGTTCCAAATTTTGGTCATGGCTGTGGTGGCATAGTTAGCAAAAAACCCAGCGCCAGCTGGTGTGCAAAAATGCACGTGCACACAGATAAGCCCTCGTAGGTGCAGCGATCGCATGCGTATTGGTGGTTACCACTAATACGCATGCATTTTTTAAATGACAGATGCTCTCTCGGGCTTATCAGTGATCAGCTGTTTGTGATATAGAAATCTTATTTCATAACGAGGTCACTTGTCACTGCACACGTTTATATTTCATTGTTGCCTTTCAGTGTTTAATTTCATTGTTTCACGCACGAGCAGCATTTTTGCCTGTAGCAGCAGAAGCGTTGCACTGATAAGCACATAAGGGAAGGTCTGATTCCCAGCATGGGGAAAAGAAAAAATTTATAGGATGCATTGCACATTGCAATAGAAAGAACAGTAGCCAGTCAGGCACGCACACATCAAGTTATCCCCATTTTCCAGATTGAGGAAAGGCTTCTAATTTTTTTATGTGATGGTTATAGTATAAAAGGTTTCAGTTGTTGCTGTCATACATTCAGGTCCTGTGGAAAATT